TAAAAAAAAATCAAACTTTATTTTCATTATTAAACATTTTTTGTATGATGTGTGTTAGATCAAGATACATTAGTATGGTTTAATCATTATTTATATTCAAATAACTATCAACTATTTACCGATAACTAAACCAAGATCTTACTAGCATTAGGATTTTGTAGCATAATATTAGCATATTCTCGACCAATTTGCCTTCCTTAATAAGTCAATCAAGAAAGTAAGACTAATATTCTGTCTTTACCACCATATAACAATCTTATCAATAAGAAATAAAAAGATATTGGTCGACTTAATACTTAATAATTAAAACAATTTTAATTTAAGATAAAAATCATAATTCCAACCTTTGGCAGAAGGAAGCTAACCCTCCCATATATATATTAAAAAAAGAAAACATATTACAATATATATTACTCCTTTGAAGATGACAACTTTAATTTAAAATTAAAAAGTTGTAAACAAAAGAAAGACAAATAGTGATAATGATTTACAATTGTTTATGGTAAGGTATACAATTAGTATATTAATTTTCTAGATAAATAATTTTGAATTTTGAAAACCATATTTGAAGATAACAGAGATTAGAGAAAGAAAAAGGGAGGAAGGAAGGAGAAATAGAGCAAAACCTGGTGGTCTTTGGAGGTGTAGAAGTCATCACCACCGCCGCCGCCGCCGAAGTCCGCCATGTGAGGGGCCGGGGTTCCTGTTAATTATATAAACCAGTCACCGTTGATTAATCTTGATCATTGGAAAAAACAGGGAGGAAGGAAAAAAGGTTGGGAGCAGTACTGCGATATCATATACCTTGGAGCGTAGAGAAGGAAGAGAAAGAGAGAAAAGAGACAGATTGGAGCAAAAGGGGAAGAGAGATAGAATGGGAATGGACGTTGAGTGTAAGCCTGGGAAAAGAATAAATATATACGGACGATTCATGAAAAAATTGGAAACCCAAAATTGGAATGGTATTGTATACATACAAATAATAACAATAATAATATCTAATAGTATTAACTTTGATTATTTAGGAAAATCATTCAGATATCATCTTTTAATTGTGATTAGTTTTTCTTTTAAAAAAACTTTTTGATCACTTAAAAATTAACTTTTTTTTAAACAATCTTATAATACATCAACAATGATCTAAATTTACTTATTTAATACCATTGTCATTATATCAATAATCTAAATAATTTAGTTATAATTTTTTTTTACTGAAAATAAGAAATCATAAGTTCGACTAACATGGCATATAAGTAGAGTGAGATAAAAAATAAGAAACAATTGTCTTTCATTGTACAATCAAAATTAAAAAAAGAAAAAATCATTTTCATGTAAAAATTCTTTATGGCATATGTGAATTTGACTTCTTTTAATAAATTGGTAAAAATCGAAATGGTGATTTTTCTAATAAAAAATATATCTTATAAATTGGCGAATTATATATTATTAATTATAAATTCAGGAAATCATATATGATTTTTTTTTATATAAGGAGTTATAATTATGGGTTATTATTTAGTCAGTCAATCAAGGAGTTTACTATTTATTTTGGTAATAAATACGCATCAAATAAAACATACTATATATTTTTTGTGATGAATAAGGTCCAATTTCTTCTAAGGGATTATGGGTAATTTTTTCAAATATCGCAAATTCAATGTGAATAGATGGTTACAATCTCAGGTCTAAACTGCCATTAAATATTATATTGAAATAAATAAGTAATTTACTAGTAGATCTAGAATCATTAGAATTTTCAACATAAAAAAGAGTCATTATAATTTAGATATTTTTATTAAGAAAACCATTATAAACCAGTCAAATATAGTTGGTCTTGTTTGGTAAATGTTTTTTTTTTTTTTTCTCGACTTCTTTTTCCCTGCCTAAGATTAGATGGTTCTAAACTTCAATTGCAATAATTATAGGATTGACAATTTTGGAGAATTAGGAAACGACACTAATTATTTTAATATATATTGAAAAAGTATTTTATAGTTTGAATTAATTTAAATTATAAAATATTAATTATTTAATAAAAATTAAATTCCTTTAATATTATAGATTTTTTTTTTGTTAAATAATTTTTATTTTATAATTTAAATTAATTTAAAGTTTCAAAGTATGAAAAAAATTATTATTTTATATAAACGACATAGAGTAGTTTTTAGGTTTGATTAGAGAAGGTTAAATTATGGGTCGTGCCGTTAGGACATCAATATCAAATTTGTCCATTGCCTATCTTCAAAATGTATATATATATATCTAATTTGGTCCTCCCCCTAAACCAAGACCGTACATTATTTCGTGTACAAAGGAAAACGCCATCGGCCACCGACACCTTGAAGGTTTCTTTTTTACACGTGTGCAATTATCTAAAACAATTTAGTGACTCTTAAGAAATTTAAAGGAATATATATATTTATTTTGCAAA